TTTTATTGTGTAGAGTGTATATATTAATAGAACTATATGAGGAGGATTTCAGGTAGTTTAAAAAAGTATTTTGTAAGTGTGGGGAATGATACAAGTAACAGTTTGGTTTCCTAGGATTGACAGGTCATGTAAAGTTCCCAATCAGTCCATTGTCTCATCATCTCAGTAATGCCACATAATATTGCTTCCTTTATAGGACCAACATGTGCTAGGTTCTGTATCTAAAACTTCTGGGAAACCCATGGCCATTAAGATACGCACTTGGATGGGCTGGGAGTGTGGCTAGAGTGGTGGAACCCCTTTGAAGCCCTGAGTTCAAATCCCAGTACCAGTGGGAAAAAACAAAGATACACACTTGGCGCTTTTAAAAAAAACATCCTTTGTAGTTTCAATCATTTTTCTAGAGTCTATTTTATTGACTTGGAACCCTAAGCAAATAGCCTAAACTGTGGAGGCATTTTAATTAGATTAAATAATAATTATGAGCTATACAGTTGTGGTATGTGCTTCACATCACACCCAGTGGATACCCTTATCTGTTTTATATATATTTGAAGTCACTTTGTTATTTTAGTAGTGATCTCTGTTTTTTACAAAGTGGCTAATTCTTAATGTACAGAATTCTTTTATTGCAATTTGAACTGTCGATTCCTGTTTACTGGCTGTCTGAATGTTTGAAAGCAGATTTGTGTATTTAGGTGAAATGGTTTCCTGTGTTTTGTTGTTGTTGTTCTTTTCTATTTTAATTTACTTACCTCTCCTGTGTTGGATAGATAAATCACCTCATGCCCAGAGTGAGCTCTGAAGAATTTGATCTTTATATTTTGAAGACCAGCATCTTTCAGGCCTCTCATTGCAAGTCATTTCTAAAAACAGTATTTTTAAAAGATTTCTTTAATTTTACATAACCATGCAATTTAATTATCAAGTTAAAGATAAATATTAAATAAGAATAAAAGGTAATGTTAGATAAAAGCAATCCTTTAGTAATAAAAAAATTATAAATAGAGATCATGTTCAGTAAAAAGTTTAATAGCAGAAATTATCTGAATTGAATTTTAAAATTGAACCAAAAGTATATCCTTACTTTATCCAATGAAACTTTTAGACTATTGTAGAATGTACTTTCAGAAGATATCAAAATACTTGACACTTGTTTATAAAGCTTGACTGAGAATAAAGCAAATGGAAGGTAAAACTAGACCTTTCCCAGCACATATAAACATGATAATTATCTTTTATTTTATGCTTGGGCAAGTTTTGTTTTAATTTTGAAGAAAACAAAAGTTCTTTAGCAGAAAGCTATTAGACCACTGAGAATTGAACACCAGCCCATGTGGTGTGTATTAGAGTGCTGTTGGTAATTTCACTGCCGCTAACTTAAAATCCTCAAGGGGGAGTTAATTACAGGAAAACCATTCTAAATATCAGTAAGCTGCATATTTTCTATGACAAGAGGTTTTTCAGTTGAGGTTGAACAAATCCAGAATCTGAAGTTGAAAAAATAAGTAAATAAATAAATTAAAGTGGGTGTTTGTATGCATACAGTACACTAAAGTACTTACAGTTTTTTTATGAAATTAATTCAAAAGTTATTTTAGTACGAGCCAGCATGATGAGAACAGATTTAAGAATTTTAAATCCCAGTTGGAAGGGTTAACACATATGTTAGTGGTCATTTGAATGCATGTGAATTTATTTATTGAGCTATTTAAAAACCATTGTATATTACCACTGAGAACTCTCAGTTTTTGTAAATATTTGCAGATTAAGAGGTTTTTTTTTTTTTTCTTTTTTTCTTTTTCTTCAGATAAGCTTGGTGTACTTCAAAATCTGTATGGCAATGATCATAGGGAAAGTAATGAGCAAGGTGTTTAATTTAGTTGTGTCTGAAGTGTTTGACATATGTATATGTTCCTCAGATTTAGATTTGGAAATGAGTATTTTTATTCTTGTTCATTACGATTCTGATTTACCTTTTTAAATTTCACTATGAGAAGCAAAAGAATTATTAAATAAATTAGTAAGTTACATGTATATTTATATTTGCACAATGATATTCATCTCCTTGTCCTTCCCTCCCCATGCAACAGTAGTTAAGAGCTCAGCCTCTGGCACCATACTGTTTTTATATCTTGACTGCAGTTGTCATGACTCTTGTTACCTTCAGCAAGTTAAGTAACTTCTCTGAGCCTATTTTCTTACTTGAAAGTGAGAATTAGCAGAAGGTTTCTGAGAATTAAAGAGTTAAAAAAGTGTTTTGCACACTCTCTGGCACAAGGTGAGCCCTATATAATATTAGCCTTAAAGTTAGTATCTCTGCTTTGAAAAGATGGAGAAGATGTAGCATACTGATTCTATGCTAAAGTCTAACTGTTAAGTTTCTCATGGTCAATTTATTTTTAAGAAAGTTGATTTTAAGTTGCAAAAGGTCTTGTTTGGAGTAAGGTGGTATTTCAGATTCTAGGGCAAAGAATTCTACTGAAATATAAGTAATATAAAAACATACTATTTTCTGTAAATTTACTATTTAATTGATAGATTTCTTTGTCAGTTTTGAAAAGTAAACCATTAAAAAATGTTAGGTACATCAAGCTTTTCAAATAGTTACTGAGACCTTCACATTTGTGCTGTCTGTGGGTATGAAGCAAAATAGTGTTTGATTTATCTACAGCGTATTCAAAGCGGAAGCTTCCCACGGCTCCCTTGTTTAATGAAATCACCACGTTCTTTTTAGTATCATACGTATTGTATGTAAGTGGTATACATGATGAATTCATAATAACTATGAAAAAAACCACTTCTGCCCTTAATATTATCCATAGCCCTACCTGTTAAACCCAAAGAAGCTTTGTTCTGTCTGCTGATTTAACCAGGTAATTCACATGCAGTTTAGTTTGTTGAAATGTTCAGAAAAAGTTATTTAGATAAAGACTAGCCACATTACTGCAAGCTGATTGCTTTATTCTTTTGGGGGTTTGGGCCTTATGCCTAGCGGAGGGTCTGGGGGGGACATGTGATTTCCATATCAATAGCTGCAGCCTGGTGGATCAGGTGCTTTACCTTGGGGATTTCCCTAGCTGAGAACATTGCACTGGAGTGAAGATACAAAACTTCGAAGTACGTGGTACCATTCAAAAACATAAGGTTAGGAGAAGACACACAGATGAGTTTTTACAAATCATAAACTCTTATCTGGTTTCCTTAAATAGAAAAGTGCTCCAAGCACTGGAGTCGCTTAGAGAGGGGTGTGGGGTTTGAAGTTAGAATTTGGGCGTGCTCTCCTCCCAGTATACCTCTGCCCTGCTTTCTTGGTCCATGGTTGACTGGGGGTGCTGCTTTGTGCCTAGATTCAGTGCCTCCTCCTCCTCGTTCCTCTGGTGGCTGCTGCCTCGGCTGCTGCCTCGTCCTGGTTTCTATGTCTGGTGCTGCTGCTCTCCACAGGCTGCTTCAAGAGGCCCAGTTAGGCCTCTGCCCAGATGCCTCTCATCCAGCTCTTTCTGTTATGTTTGCCCCCGGGGTGCCTTAGCCCGTTAGTTTAAAAGGAGGAAGAGAGAGTGTGAGCCTCCACTTAGTTTCTCTATCGCCTTGCTCTTGGATATTTGTGTAAGGGTGAAGGGGTGGGGGAGTGTACGTGTGAAAATGTGAGCCAGGGCAGTTTGAAAGAAGGAAGGAGGGAGGAGGGGATAAAGAGGAAGAGAATGCAGCTGCTGTAGCTTAATTAGTGTCAGACAGGGCTTCAGGTCTGGGCTTAAATCCTCATTGGCTGCTAGCATCTCCTTTGGCCTGACCCTTCTTCTGGATTCTCCTCAGCCACTACCCAGCCCTTCCAAAATGTTTGTTCAGTATAACATTATTTGGAATAATGAATCAGTCCTCATTTTTCCATGTTAAATAAGTATTGTTTCTAAAACTGTGTTCTGATTTTTCCTATTAACAAATTTAAAGAGGGGTGCTTCTTCTCTAAGTAAATAAATGGCTCAGTGTGGGGGGCAGGGGTCAGATTTAATGGGATTAGGGCGCTTGTTCAGGATAACATTACACTAGCTTGGGGAATCAAGTTTGTTAAACCCAGTGTGTGTGCCACCCAGTCACTTTCCCCACTGTGGGTGACTGTTTATAAAAGATTGCCCATCTCTGGCCACCTACTCCTACCTTAGCCCTTCCACTCTGCCAGAGTGCTCTTCTAGTGCTGATGGACAGCTTTGTTTTCTTTTCATTTCAGCTGCAGATGAAGACATCCTTGCTAAAGGAAAACAGTCCATCAAGAGTCAGGCTTTAGGAAATCAGAACTCAGAAAACGAGATCCTCCTGGAAGGCGACGATGATACTCTATCATCCGTGGATGAGAAAGACTTAGAGAATCTTGCTGGTAATTCAGTGGTTGTGCGGATATTTCAGCTGACTCTGGGACAATGAACATCTGATTACTTACTTTTTCAGCTGTGACCACTAGTACTGCCAAGCTTATACCTACAATTACATCAACTAGAGATTATTTTTGTTCTTCCCAACATTTCCCCCCTCATCTACAATTTCTGCTTTACTTTTCTATTCTGTTTGTCTCTCTCATCTTTTAATTTTACATATGGTTTTTCACTGAAAGAGGAAAAAAGTTTAAAAGCAGTCACCACAAAATTGCTTCATCCATCCCGTGGGAGTCACCATATCGCTATAAAATGGGGACCGTGAGTGAAAATCTGTCAATTGTTTTATAAATAAAGCTTGGAGGCAGATGAGCTATTTGCTTTGATATACAAGTCTTAGTAAATCATACTGCACATACACTTAACTCACTGAAAAATTCAATTCCAAGAATGCCTTGGCTTTTCACGGGATTCATGTGTTTTGCTAGATGTAAGAATTTTGATTTGCAATCTGCAGATTCTCAATTTTACTTCCCTTGTGGGAAAAATTCTCTTGTTTAGCCTGAATTTTAGTAATTCATTAAATGGCTTTTTTCCTTTACTGTCTATGAAGGTGTTCTTCAAGGAGGAAAGTCTGAACAAGTCTACAATTTCTACAGGTGAAAATTACATAGTATTCTGTGATGGCTTTAAGAGAAAAGGCATTATTAGAAAGCTTTTATTTGGTGACAAAGCTGTAACCTGTGCTACCTTGCATCTTGATAATGAAAAGCAAAAATAGAAGCCTATCTTCTCTGATGGCCATAAACCTCTTTGTAAAGTAAAATAAAATTAATTGAAGTATACTGTTAAGGGATTTGGAGTAGGAGTAGGGAGTAAAGTGAATACTGCTAATTTCAAGTCTTTTCCTTCACATCCATTTACCCATCTCCTCCTTTATTCTCCCTCTATTCTTGCTACTAGTAATACATTCATACAGTAATAGAGGTGAAAGGGGAGTTTAATTATATAATCTTGACAATGGCAATAGGATTAAGAAGTAATCCACACTAATAAAGTGGTGTGGTTTAGAAATGAAGTGGAAATTGTCAGGGGTCTTCTGTAGGACCTAGGCTGCCCCAGCTCCTGCAGCTGCCTGCTTACACTATAATTGAATGTCTGAGAGTGATTGGAAAAATGTTATTTCTTCTCAGGATTACATGCTAATGTACAGAGGGCAAAAGGAGACAGCAAAAGAACACATAGCTGCTTATTTCATCCATTTATAGGGATGAGCTTTGGGAAATCATGGCTGTTCTGCAGCTATCTGCTGCCCATCTGCAAACACAATGTATTTGTACATTGGGAATAGAGGGCAAAACCTGCTGTGATCTCCACAGAGCATCTCTTCCATTGTCCTACTGGCACACATTAAGATTGATGTGAGATTAAGGACCATCACCCTTCTAACAATCAATGGAAATGTCAATTCATCTGAATTTTGAAACACTTACTCATCCATTGATTACCTGAATAGGCGCACCTTATTTATAGGCACTATATTAATTCAGAACTGTAAGTGCCAATCTTCTTTTTGAGTGTTTTCTTCTTCTATAGGATTTCTACAATGAAGAATTGACATGGAATTTCAAATTCTCTCTACATCTATATGTGTGTGTATATATATGTAATTATTAGTTTTAGTTCTTATTTTATGATTTTCTATGTGTAGTGAATCTATTGTTTTCAGTAGCAGTCTTATTTGTCTCTTTGATAAGCCCTGTGGAGATTTGATTATTCCAATAAAAATTCATTCACTTGGAAACCCACCCTCCAGCTGTTTACTCCCAGAGTCCCTGAACTACACTAATATTAGATTTGGAAGCATTGAACAATATTTAACAGTGGAAAGGATGGCTTAGAAAAAAATATTTTTACCAGTCTTGCATGGGGGAGAGTTGTACTGTAGAAGAGGTTTTGTGTCAAACTGGCATAGAACCTTTATCAGAGAATATGGTTTACCAGAGAATTTCCCACTTCACTAATAAGCTGGGGATCTTTTTGCACTCATGCGTCAGCCAAACTCTTAAGCTCACCTCTGGCCTTGAAAGCCTATTGAGGCTTCCATGCTCTGGTTGTTATTCCATGTCGCTTGATAGCCTGAGGCTTGCTTTCTAAATGGAATGTGGTTGCACTTATTCAGGCAGAGTCACCTTACCTGGAGATTAAACCAAAGCTTTGCATGCTCCCTATAAAATAATTGCATCGTAGTTTACTGTGATAAACAGCCTGTTACATATCTTCTAGTATGAGAATCCTGACTGTATTTTCAAGAAGATTTGGGGTGGACATGAGATGGAAGTGTAGATGGAGCTGGCAGGCAATTTTGTATTTAGAAGTGACAATGAAAAATTAACTAAAATTTTGGGTCAAATCTGATTTTTTGAAAAACGTCATCTCAGACTAAGTGACTTGTCTTTCTCTTGGCAGGTCCCGTGAGCCTGAGCACACCAGCTCAGCTTGTGGCCCCCTCTGTTGTGGTAAAGGGCACTCTTTCTGTCACCTCCTCTGAACTCTATTTTGAGGTAGATGAAGAGGATCCTAACTTCAAGAAAATCGACCCCAAGGTGAGAAGACAGGAGAGGTGGGGAGTTCATTTTTTCTTATTATGGGATGGTGGGCTGCATCAATTGGCACTGGTAAAATCTCAGCGGCTTAGCTCAAATCTCTCGTAGAAATGCCTCTGCTTACATGCAAGGCACTTGTCTTTTTTAACTTATGATTACTCTCTAGTTAAATTATTGGAGTTCATTTATGTTTAAAAATAATTTCTACTTAATTGCATTTATCATTAGCTCTTTGGCAGGGAGGGACCTCAGGGAACATTGTCTGTAAATATATTTTACTTCAAAGGGTTCACGGTGAATTAAGCTACAGAATTCAGTGAGCTTAAGAGTGGAATTATTTTGTTTAGCCTTTATGTTTTCTGGATGTACTACCAATATATCAGCCTCCTTGCTTTGTCCCTATGACTTACTACTCTGTCGTGCATGCAAGCATGTTTTGCGCATGTGGGTGATACCTCTGTTTCCCATTACCTGTCATGGATTTTACAAGGCACTGCATAATTTCTTATTCTTAGATGAAAATGTAATTTCTCTTCTAAAATATATTTCTAATTACTTTTCAGACCTTTGCAACTTTATTTTTACTAAGAAATATTTCTGTTTTTTAACACAGTCATAAAGCCAAAATTATGTTGCTTTCACTTTCATGAAAGTGAATGGTAAAACAGTTTCTTTAAAAATGGACAAAATAAGCAACCTGTAGAAAGAAGTTGCTTAAAAATGGAATAATTTATTTACTGGCTGATTTTGTATGTGTGTGTGTGTATATACATATACACACAACTTGGTGAGAGGTTGTTTTTGAAATCATGTGAGTTATTAAATGTTGATAATTTAGAAGTATTTCAAAGTAGTTCTTGATGCAAATGTTATAATTTTATTAAGAACTTTACAAACAAATCGTTTCTTGTCTTATGCTTGTTTCCATATTCTGTTTCCATCTTTCTGTCCCTATCAAGGCAGGATTTGATAGCCAGTGTGACAGGAAGGCCACAATGGAACTGGTTGTTTTGAGCTAGATAATTCAACTAATCCAATGTAGAGAAAACTTTAGTTCTGAAATTATATGACCTGGAAATTTTCTACTTTGTTGCATGGTTGAGTTGTCTGAAAATGTGTTCTAATTTCTTTAGGAAAGGAAAGTTACCAAAATTACTTAAACTCTGTGATTTTTGGTAGTTTGTGAATTTAAGAGAAGCTAAGATTTGATTCAGGATATTTTATGTTTTTTGGAATACACATGGCTTAAAGTCTAGAATCTGATTTAGTGTAAAGATGTCTAATGAATTGTTCTTAAAATTAAAAACCTCTGCTAATCTTTCCGATTAGGTTCTTTGATGTTATTTGTTTTGTTCCTTTAGGGAAGCTGTAATATTAATTTCTCTCTGGTCTTATTCTGTGCAGCATCATTAAATTAATTTTCTTTTTCTGTTGCTTGTGAAATATGGGATCTTTTAGCCTAATCACAAAATCATCTTGTACCACTGCAACCTGTGCAGTATCCTAGAAATGAAAATTCTTCCAGTTTATATTTTAAATTTTTTAGGTAGTTATTGGAAGAGTATTTTATTTTGAAAGATGTTGGTGCCTTAAGACATTTTGTAAATGTGGACTTTTTTGCTGCAATGTTTTTCCTTAAATTTTTTCCTGATATATCCTTTAAATAAGGAAGAAGAAAAGATACAGAATTTGAGCTATTTTATTTTTTCTTGTCAAGACTTACTGTTATTTCATAGAATAGTTAAAGAAAGCTCTGTGTGTAATGCTGGAAATAGGTTTTTGAGTTAAAAACATCACTTGAAGGTAGCATTTTTATCTTTTAAACTAAATCCCCTGTGATGTAAGTGACAGGAAGGCCACAGTGCATCCTGTGGTGCCAGTCTAAGTGTCTGCATGTGGATATGAAAATGTTCTTCAAATCCATGCCAGTTACACTAGAGAAGTTTGTTTTATTATTTTAAAACATTCATGTGTACTGAATGAGTGAGTTTGTTTTATATCTACAGGAATGGGGACCAGAAAGAATAGAAAATACATTGAAAGAATGGAGATGGTTTCAGAACTGATAAGATCAGAGTTTATATTTTCAACACAGACTGTCTTGACCAGGGAGTCCTATAGCGTAAGCCTGTTCTGTCCAGCGGCTGGCCTGGAGCCCCCTTAGTAGCTTGCTGCTGTTTCATCCATCTCTGCTGCCCTGCTGCTCATCCCTGTGTGTGCCCTGCCCCCATCCAGACTTCTTCCTCTCATCTTAAAATTGTCCTTTAGAACATTTTTCTCTACATCTTTCACCCATGGATTTCTCAGTAAATTAAAAAGGCTAATTTAAAGAATAAAAATTAAATACAAAGCGTAGAATCTGACCCGTACCTGCGCTTCACATTAACAAAACTAATGGATTATGTAGTTCCCTCCAACATGAAGAAGACAGATTGTTTTAGGATACTTTCAGTTTTACCAATGACTTTATAACCCAAACATTTATTTCCTTGGGTTAAAGAGAAACTGTGGTCAAGGGTGAACTATTGACATGAGTTTGTTTGGAAGGCACTTTTCCTATTTGTCAATTCTTGGAACAGTTTTCTTTGGTGATAAAGGTGGAATCAAGACCTTTTTTGTTTTAATTGTATATAAGCAGGCTGAGAATAATTTTTGTAATTTGATAAAAATGATTATAGTTATGGCATTTATAACTAAAGTTACTTTAAAATTGAAGTAATTTATAAATCTGAATTGTATTACCATTTACTGGGGGAGAGGAATATTGCTGTAACTATTCTTTCTTGGTGTGGTTGATGTAGTTGTTAAATCTTTATAATATGAAGCTTGAAGAGGAAAAATGGTTGAAGGAAAAATATTAACTGACTTTGTTAACTATTGGGAAAATATCTGTAAGTATTTTCTTTGTGTTGGATTTTTAAAAATTATGGCATAAGAAAGCAAATCTATAATTTTTAATGTGGAAAAGGTTGAAAATGGTTCCTTATTTTAAAGATGAGGGTGAAAATCTTCTCTTTCATATAGCTTTCCTTTTCCAAGTGTAAAATGTACTTTTACTCTTCAAATCTACAGAACAAATAACATGTTGAGTAAAATTAGTTATCTTCTTTTTTCTAAGGATTTTGGTGGGAATTTACATAGTTAATACCACAAATTGTATTTTACATTTTGCAAGTTGAAGTTCAAATGGAAGCCTTTTTGCATTTACTTCCTTAATTCACATCTTTACATTGTAAGTTAGAAAGTGATCTCACCTGCCTTCATCCTTCACTTAAGAACATTCCACAAACAGTAGATTACAATGTAGTCATATTTTATTACTGTTTTCAACAAGACGTGTGGGAAGTGTGGGGAGAGGTGCGAGAGGGAGGACAATCTGACATTGGCACTGAGATACACTTAACATCAGTAAAACTTTTAAAAAGAGAACGTTTACATAATAGTTAAATAACTTTTTCACTTTGTGACAATCATTCAGGCAACCAAAACAAAAAACAAAACGAGAGAGAGAAGGACAGACAGACAGACAGAAGATAGGGGTAAAGGAGGAAGAGGGAGGGGAAGCTACTATACATTGATTTGAAATTGTACCTTGGGTTTCATTTTGTGATGGTAAAGCGCGATTGCTTCTTTTGTGTGACCTTTTAAATTCACATTGTTTGGAAGAAAATGATCACTTTTGTGCAAGACGTTGGGTTTTTTTTGTTGTTGTTTGATTGGTTTGCTCTCTTTTGTTTGCTTCTTAATTAACGGAGGTCTTCCGCTGATTCTGGTTTCTTTCAGGTGATTTACATAAAGTTGTGTCCAGAGTTTCCACTGTTGTCGCTGAGTGGTTTGTGGTGTGGGTGGGAGAGCACGCCCGTGTGTGTGGCTTTTCACGCAGTCCCCAGCACCCTATAGTTTGTCCAGGCTTTTGGGATTGGTGAGGATTTCCCTGGCCAACCTCCAGGTCTGCTTGGCAGCGCTCTCCAGGGCCGAATGGGGCTTGCCCTGGAAGAGGTCGAGGTTGGGCAGAAAGTAGTGGGGGCAGCGGCGGCACTGCAGGCAGGAGATGAGCTGCAGCAGGATGCCGTTTAGCCGGTCGCCCAGGCATGCCTCGTCCCAGTCCGTTTCCCGCGGGTGTTTCTCGCACTCGTAAAGCAGCAGAGTCTTCATGTGGTAGTTATTGAGCGGCTGGCCCGGCAGCTCCAGGTGGCGGTCCCGCAGCGTCTTCAGCACCGAGAGACACTTGTTTCGGCAGCCGCCCATCAGCAGGCGGTTCTCTGCCTCTCCGAACTGCAGCACCCAGGCGTCACTCTCCGCCGAGCTCTGCTTGCCCGTTAGAGAGTAACACTCCTTGGAGAGCAGATTGAAGCCTTCGGCCTTGACCTCCGCCACCCGATTGGGGCCAGGCCATGGGATGTGGGGCATGGGCCACTGGGCAGCGCTGCGAGGCCAGATCCCGGTGCACTTGAACGCTGGAGTGATTTGCACCACGTAGCGCTCCCTGATGCGCAACTTGACCTCGCTGGTATCGGCAATCATCTTGACCACATCCCGGTAGCTGCACTTGTCCACCGCTTGGGCGACCAGCGTCTGGAAACGGGAGCGGATCTTGCGCGCGGAGAGGTAGCCGGACGCCGTGATGAACTCGACCCACAGAGACATGCTCCGCTTCCGCCCATCGCTCAATTTGAGCACTGCACAGCCGGGCAGCGAGCCGTCGTCCACAAAGTTGAAGACGCCCATCTGGTTAAGGTAGAGCACCACCTCGAACTCGGTTGGCGAGATGACCTCCAGCCCCTCGTAGCGGGCGTCGATCTCGCTCAGTGAGCTGATGAAGCGAGGCTCCTGTACCTCCACTTCCTTCAGCACGTCCGAGACCACCTTGCAGACCTCTCGGATGGTCTTGGCGATGGCCGCCTTGCGCGCCTGGCAGCGCTCAGTGTAGTATTTATTGAGCTGGTAAACCAGCTTGGCCTGCGCGGCGATCATGTTGGGGCACAGGTCCGGGCTGTACACCGGCGTCTCGCAGTACGTTGAGGGATCCAAGGCTCACTCGCTGGTGGTGGCCCTGCGGCTTGGAAAGAGGCGGTGCGCAACCCTTAAACCCCACTTTCACTCTTGCTTTACACCTGGGCTGACCCGCCGATGCCACAGCCGGCTCGCCTTTTCTTTTCCTCCTTCGAAATCTTTTCTCCTTGTGCGGAAAATTAGAAACAACGTCTTTGAAGAAGACAAGTACCTGCTGAGACTTTCAGCTTTCTCTCGATAAGTAAACTAGGCTGTGTTGGAGAGCGATGCAGGGGGGTGAGAGAGAAGAATTCAGATTACCAAGAGGTGGTTAGGCTTGGATGACTGCAGCCGAGATTGCTCAGTTATCTGGAAATGAGGTCTTTTAAGTGCCAAAGCAAATTTTAAACTAAAAGCTCCACATTCAGTGGTTCATTCTTAAACTTCTCTGCCACTCCGGTGGGACTTATTTCTTCGGCGTAGGTAACGCGCGAGCCTCACCCTCCCCTCAATGGAGAGGGAAGGATGTAATTAATGTCCGCAGAGCAGCGACGGCAGCTTGGTCCGCGGCACCCTTGGAGATTGCAGACACCCGTGGTCTGAGCGCGCAGGTCTTCTCTCTTCTCGGGGGTCGTGGCGTCGCAGTTTTCCTCGTTTCCTACTGGAGGCGTTGTTTGGATTGGGTTGGTTTGTTTGCAGTGGGTTGTTTTTGTCTTTCCCTAGGTGCAAACCACTGGAAGTTGTTTGATATTCATTTCTGCTTCGTAATTTATACTTTTGGCCCTCACAAGATCTGTTTTAGTGTGACGAAGTCGTTGCTTGCGTTGCATCTGGCGTGGAGTTATTAAAGATTCAGGGTTTTTCCTCTCCTAGGTTGCTTGTGCAGATTCCACTTTCTGAGTCGTCTTTCCCTCCTCCCCTCGGATCTCTCTCTCTCTCTCCCCCAATCTCCCTCTTCTCTGTCCCTCCCCCTTCTCTCTCTCTCTCTCTCCCCAATCTCCCTCTTCTCTGTCCCTCCCCCTTCCCCTTCTCTCTCTCTCTCTCTCTCTCTCTCTCTCTCTCTCTCTCTCTCTCTCTCTCTCTCTCTCTCGTTTCCTGGAGTTATTTAGTTTATGAATGGTCCCTGGGCCATCATGAGGGGGGTGGAGCTTCATTTCCTACAATCCCTATCGAGCTGTCAGTGCTTTAGCCAATCCGAGAGAAAAGATAGGCATGCTTGACGAACGGTAGTGGCCACCTCTGCACTTGATAAAGAAAGGGAGTAAAGAGAGAAGTAAGAAAATAGGAAGAGATAGTGGAAGTCAAATGCTCGCACACATGTTACAGCCCCCTCTTCTTTATCCTCTTATCAGTTGCAAAGAAGAAAAGGGAGTCTCTATAGAAGGGATTCTCCTGGAGATGGCTGCAGTAACGCGAGGGAGAATAGCAGTGGTTCAGAAAGGTTCATTTTTTTTTCTCTCTCTCTCTGTCTCTGTCTCAAAATTGTGCAGGAGAAGGTGTAATTCTCTAACAGAATTACATTGGCTTGAAGGCAAATGGGAGCAGGAAGGGAACTTTGGGAAGTACCTATTTTTTGTAGGTTTTTTTTTTTTCTTCTCTCTCTCCAGTAAAGTCTTTCTTCTCTTCTCCTGTCCTGCCATTGTTGCCAGGAGCCAGGGCAATTGCTGTATATGTGTGCTAGAGAGGGGTGGAATGGATATAGGGTGAGAGTTTATAATCATAAATCTCTTGCTAGTAATTTCCATATGCTTTTGAAAACGAGGCAAGACAAAAACTAGTTGTGAGCATGCTGTTTGATATTTATTTGATAGTTAAGATTCAGGTATATTTTATGCCATCATTTTATCACTACAACAACTAACCAGTTACTAGAGAAAAAATATCTAAGTTGTGAGAAACGGTATAAATTTATGTATGGTAGAATTTGGTTGGCTATATTTGTAAATTAAAATAAGCTTCTAAAATTGTCAAAAAATTAAGATGATGGGAAAAAATGTGAACCCAAATTAAAGTTTTCTAATGTTAGTGTTATAAATCTAATTTTGAACATATTCCCAGGCAATAACAGTTTCACGTATGAAATGATTTTACTTTCATAATTGACTCTTGCTTTTAAAAGACTTGACTGCTACAAAAATCTATAACTATTCTGTTATTGATTACACAGATGGTTTCACTCCTCCCATTAGTTTCAGTGCAACTCATGCACGTGCCTTTGATATATGTATTATCCTTAAGAAACTACTAGTTGTAGGTAGCCTTTTAGAACTTTTGGAAGGGAAAAAGTTGTAACACTGTTACTGATTTACTTACTGTGAGAGTTTATCTTTACCATAAGGTATCTGGATTCTGGATTGTTTTAACACACTTAGGTAGGATTAATTTTAGTTTGGTTTGGAAGATAATATTTCGACCCAGGTTATGTGATGAAAATTAAAAATCTAGGCAATACCCCTTTTTACAAAACCTGGTTTGTGTAGCTTTTGTAAAACCCTTTGGGACGGCTTGACTTGCCCTCTTAAAGCCCAAGTAGGTTAACCTGAATTCAGTTGCATAAGGAAAGTTGATTTCTTTCCATCACCTTGGTGTTCAACACTTGGACCTCTTGGTTCTTTCTTACATCTCTGGTTCGCACTGTGGAGGCTTCTCACTCCTCTCTTGTTGCCAAAGTCCCTTTCTAAAAGTTGTTTTTCTTCTTTTTAAAGTCAAGCTGGATTTATTGCTGGGGGTCTGCCTTCAGAGGCTAGGGGTTAGGAAGAACAGCCTGAAGTCAGCATGGCTGAACTCTGGGAGGAGGCTCTGGGGAACTTCTTTCAGCCTTAGGAGTCGGGGTGCTGCCGTAGCTTTCTGCGGAAGCCGCTTGCGCGGAGGGACAAGGGGCACTCTGGTGCAGCCGCGGGCTGGCTTTGTGCTCAGGGAAGCCCACATTGGGGTGCCGGGCTCTCCAAGTGGGTCACACTGGGCAGGAGGGCACTGTGCCGCAGGGAGTTGTGCGACTTGCTGGAGAGGAAATGTTGTGACTTCTCCGGAAAGCAGTTTTTGGGTGGAGGCTGCCCAGCATTTCCCTCCCCATCTTTGAGGTGGCCTTTTCTTTGTCATCTGTGATTGGCAAGCGGCCCCAGATGCTTGAGGGTGGTAGTGGTGAGTGAGTGTTGGCGAACCCACTGAGGGTGCCCAGCTGGCCAAGGTCTGAGCTCTGGAGTCCAGGCCCTCCTGGTTCTCTTCCCCTGCACCAGGACAGCAAGCTCCTACTCTGCTGGGCTATGGCAAGCTTGACTAACTTTTCTTCCCTGGCCCCGAGTTTCTCTGTTTTTACATACTCTTGCTGAATGAAGGATGATAAAACGTTACAAATGTTTTGGTTTAGAAACAATTCATTACCAATTTACCCCTTCTAAGGTAGACGCTCTAGTAAATAATAAATCAGTTAAACAAAGGCGACTTTAATTTATTGCTATGGTACTAATTAGAAACATCATTCGAGCAATAAACTTAAACACTTCCAGCAAATAATGCTCCTCCTCCTCCCCTACCTCGCTGGGCTGCCTCGGGCGCAGCGCGGTTTCTGCAAGCGCTCGAGGCTCCTCTTCCTCTGGCTGAATAATTGAAAGTGGAAACGGCTTCGGAAGAGGCTGCAATTGAAGAGCTCCTGTCACCTCTGCTTTTATGTATGTTAGTATAGAAGTCCATCAGCAGCTCCTTGATGGTGTATTAAAACGAAGTGGCAGCTCCTTCTGCAGTAGATACCGTCTTCTATTAAAGGAGACCAAGAGAGAGAAAGAAACTCTAGAGGCTAAAAGCCACTTCAGACCGATTGATCTGTATTCTCTCCTTATAATCCGTCTCATCATACTTGAGTTAATGAGGCAAAGAAGGGGGAGCGAAATCTGATGGTCCTTGACAAATTCATTAGGGAGGCTGCAGGACATTTTGACTGTTGAGCATCTTGTTTGTTTGCTTTAGGTAGTGCCAATATCAGCTTACTTTTGCTCGGAGCTGTGGCACTGAGCTGGCTGCAAGGCCTCCTGAAACGGAGGGAGGACTTTGACCTAGTAATATATATATATATATATATATAATAGACACACACGTGTGTGTGTGTGTGTGTGTGTTTTGATTTGGATTTTGGGTAACCCTGAATCTTCAGACTTCTCTAGCCTTAATCTTTTCCATCATTACATTAGGAATATTTTATAAGAATGAGGTGGGCATGTTTTTAGGTATTATAAAACTAAAGTATGTGTATGTATAAAACTTTAGTCTGAAAATTTCCCAATTCCTTTAAAACAGTTGAGTCAGATCACACCAATTACTGCACTAGTTTTTGAGAAATGTAAATGTTTAAGGTCCAGAAAAGTAGCCACTACATCTTACACGTTCAGTTGATCATGATTAAATAAACTTTTAGTGATTAATTGAACTTCCGTTTTCAGGAAACCCTTCCTGTGTACAGAGACTTAGAAATAAAAATTTCACTTACACAAATTTATTCTCAAAAGAGAATTGGCATATTTAAATTTGAGGGCTTTTATATGTAAAATTAGAACATTTGAAAAAATGAAAATGCTTCTAATTGAAGTGTAATAGGTAACTAGGCTAGAGTACTAACCTTATAATATTTTATTCTAAGACAATAATAAAGATCTTGGCTTCTCAAAGTTTTCTTGAGAAGTAGTAAATAATCCAATTGTGAAACTTTCTTGCGAAGAGAATTCAGTTATATTTTCCTTTAGTATTGACTTAAACAGTCTCAGCTTAAGTGCTTTAAGAAAGAGTCCTGACTTCCATTTAGAGGAAAACAGTATGAGAGAAAAAAGAACACTAATGCCCTTTGCCTGTCAGTTTTATACGTTCTTGCACTGCTGAAGAGGCTCGAACTGCTGCAGGGAATGTGCGATCTGAAAAGAAATGGTACAGTGGTTCATGTTGTGTTTCTCAGAAGCAAAATCTAGCTACTGCATGAAGTCAGGCTTCTGGATACCAAACAGCTGTAGTCCTACTTATGTTGCCAGAGAATAGAGGCCCTTAAACTGTTTTAGTTCATGCTCATCTTTACTTAGAAATGTATTTACTAAATTAAACTCCAGTGCATTTTTCCTTTATCAGATTAGTGAGACTTAAAGGTACCTATTATTTTATTTGTAGAAATAATATATTGTATTTCAATAATCTTTACTAAAGAGTGCACAGATTTTAGATTATATGATTTTTGTTTTCCAAGAAACATTTTAGAAGCATTCAGAAAATAACCAAATCATTGACTTTAAAATAAATTCTCTGAAGGATTTATACTTTTTAGGAAACAAAGGGCCAGGTGTTTACCTGTATATATTCTTATTCTCCAAAATCTAACTTTAAAACATCTATGTGGTTGCTAAAATTTTAGTTTTAATGTATTTAATTAATTGATAAAATTATTAAATGCTTGATTTTTAAAAAAAATTTTGTCAAAATATAATTTTGGAAATAAAACACTATTAAATTCTCTGAATTTAGAAATGATTACAGTAAAAACTGTGGTATAAAAATAACTAACCTAAACATAATTTGCTAGTGTGTTAGTTGATGAAATTTTATTGACGTAAATAAGTATCTGTGGGAAACATTAACAGTTGTCAATATTATACTATATGTGTTATCTTAAAACTTAAAGTAAAGCTGTATTCTCGGTCAAATGATCTAATTTCCCCAAACTCTGAAGTGTCCCAGAAATTGTTTCTAAAGTTAATACTTTAGAAGTTTAGAATAATTGTTATTCTAGAGTCAAACTATAATACCAGTAATTGAATGTTTGCCTTAAAAACAGTTCACTGTAGTGCTTATTAATAATCTTAAATGGCCAATGGCCAAGCATGCCGTTGAAGTAAGGTTTTTTCCTCCTCTTACAAAATAGCTTTAACAAAGACCAAAACTCTTGCAATCTCTTTGGTAACCC